AGAAGGGTGAAATAGATAGTGAACCGGAAAGTGAGGAGGAGGGAGAAGATGATAATAATAATGATAGCTAGTGTGGGGTAGGGAAAGGAACTCTCATTTTATGGGTTAGGGCTCGAGATGTTCCTCCCTTTAAACGTCCGCTACTCCACAATTCTATGAATCATAATTTAACGTAAAAAATAATGTTGAAATATACAATTATTATCAATAAAGTTATCAATTATTTGTTATTTTAATTCGTGTTTCGTAAGTGACAATAATTGAGTGTGAATTCGCATATGTGTCATAGAGCCTTAGGGGAGTAACCCCGTGTGATCGCGGGAAATGATTTAACTGATTTTTGTTTTGTATATATCAGCTTTACTAATTATTTATCCAATAGCGAATTCCCATATTTCACGAATTCGTGCATATGATACATTATGCGAAGCATAGGCAAGGCCCTATATTTTATAGCTAGAATCGGTAATGCATTTGCTGTATCCTTGGCAGTGATTATATCACTAATTGCTTCGGTTGATAAGTGTGTAGCACCTGATCTTAATCTTCTAAACATTTGTATATGCGGAAAAAATTTATTTCGTGATTTATAAATGAATATTAATTCGCATGCATGTGATGTAGAGCCCCAAGGGAGCAACCGCATGTGATCGTGGAAAATGATTTATGCTTGTTATACAATATAAATTGGCCGCTGATAATCTATGCCTTCGTTGATATCTCGATTCCAATTTCATTTGGAAAGAACATTTGTATAAATTGAGTATAGATTTCTTCCCATTCTTTCATCAGATCATCGAGCCATGCAGTACTTAAACCGCTTTTTTGTATATCACAATATAATAACTCTTCATCAACCAGCCTATCCCGATCTGTTAAAAATTTATGATATTTTCTGATATCTTTGTTCCTTTTTATTCCTCCACAATAAAGGCGTATATCTCTTTCCAAGTCTACACGGAAGCATCCCATGGTCTATCTTTTATTCTCAGCCTCAGTAATGATCGAAAATTTCTCAGGATCCATTCCATGTTCAATGGCATATTGGCGTAAGCTAGCCTCTGGTTGATAAAGGCGGGTTTTGTTAGGTACACTTACTTGAATTTCCGGTAAGCTCTGTACAGCAATAATAACTTTCTTTTGATCGATACGAAAAGGGCAATTAAGAAAATAGTGATCATTTTTACCTAGACAGCTCCAGTCGCCCCATATCCCTAAACGTGTATGTACCTCTTTACATATTGGGCATTTAGCTTCTGAATTGGTATATTTAAATACATCTCAATACCATACATTCGATTTAATATATCTCAAGAAAGGGAATCGTTTTTGTACTGCTTCAATAATCACATCTTTCTCTTCCAGAAATTTAGAAATCTTAATACAGTCTCGCGAAAGATGATTATCAGCATTTTCGATTTGTGAAGATTCTGAGTTTATCCAAGGATCGAGTCCAGTTTTTTTCTTATATCTTTTATATAATGTGGAGCGAATTTCATCTGTCAAAATGCTTGGTAAACTAGTTAATTTAGCATGCCACTCCAAATATTCAGGAGTTAATGTTTTATCGGTCTTGGTTTGT